CGACTGCGGCACTTTGGGCTACTTTGGTGACGAGTCATTTGTCTACCCCTGAAATCTTTTCGTGTCGGCATGCTCGGTAAACGTACTCAATATGCAACTTATCCGACACTTCCTTGCTAGTCTTTTCCGACCCCTCCTGGCAGACAACTACTCAGCCTGCATATAGCTGCGACTCACTGATCGTTGTTGAAAGTGTCGTGACATTACCTGGAGATGAGGCTTCGTCATCCCTGTGCCCCTTGGCAAACTCTCAAAAAGGGATCCGCTGCTCTTCGAGTTGTCGTCTGAAAGTTCAGGCCAGGACACGCCTTCTTCTCACACTTCACGCTCATTCACTGCGCGGGCAAAACATATTCACAGCAACGGCCATGCGTTCATCCCTTCAGTCCCTCCTTGCCGGCTCGGCCCTCTGGGCTTCGGCCGGTGCTGTCACTCTTTTCGCCGCTGATTCGGGGGGTAACGTGACGACTCTTTCCCTCACTGGCTGCAGCAATAATTACACTCTCTCTGTCACCTCTAAGACGGCCGATTGTGAGGTCAACCCTTCCTGGCTGACGCTTGACGGGCCCAACCGAGTGCTGTACTGCTACGACCGCGGTGCCGGTTCCTCTGTGTCCGGTTCCCTCAACTCCTTCGCCATTGGAGAAGACGGTCTTTTGTCTCGTATTGCGCGTGTCAGTGCCCCTCTCAGCGGAGTCGCTGGTGAGATCTTGACAACCTCTACTGGTGCTCGGGGTTACATCTCGGCCTCATAGTGAGTCCACCTTTTTCCTCCTAATTGACGGGCCAGAGCGCCGAAGTCGCTTCCCATCATCTCCCGAGCCGAGCCCTCCGAGCTTGAAGCTTATCTGCCTCTTCCCCACAGCAACCGCAGTGCCGCTGCCGTCTTTGCACTTGGCGACGATGGCGCCCTTCCTGGTACGGGCCCCGTCCAGGTGCTCAACCCCACACTCGAGAAGACAGGCCCTGTCACCCTGCGCCAGGACCGCAGCTACCTTCACCACGTCATCATTGACCCCACAAATGAGTATGTGCTCATTCCTGATCTCGGCGGTGACCGTGTTCGCGTCTACACGTACGACCCTGTGACAGTCGCTCCTATCGCCGAGGTGGCCGGACTTACGGCCCCGCCCGGCTCCGGTCCCCGCCACGGTTTCTTCCGCAAGGCCCGCAACGGGAAGACCTTCTTCTTCTTCAACGGCGAGCTTGACCAGAAGGTCTACTCGTACTCTGTCGAGTACACTGCTGCCGGTCTTGTCTTCACCCATGTCTTTGACGCCCCGGCCATTGATGCCGCGCTGCCTGCCACCAGGGCTCCCACGAGCGAGATCGCTCTGAGCGTGAGATCCCCCCCTAGTCCACCTCTTCACACCAAGCTGACAAAGTCATTCAGCCTGACGGCCGCTTCCTCACCGTGTCCAACCGTGAGAAGTCGTTCCGCGACTCCCCTATCCTCGGCACCGGCCCCTCGGACACCCTGTCCACGTTCTCCATCAAGGAGGACGGCACACTCAAGCTCGTTCAGCTCGCTCCTTCGGGCGGATGGTCGCCTCGCCAGTTCTCCTTCAATAAGGCCGGTACCCTTGTTGCCGTCGGTCACCAGAACAACCGTACCGTGACCATCTGGAAGCGCGACGTCCGGTCTGGCAAGATCGTGCTTGAGGAGGATGGCGGCAAGGTCGGTGAGGTTGTGCTCACTGGTGCTGTCGTTGCTACCATTTGGGACGAGTAGATGCTGGGCATTCATCTTTTTCGAGTACATATCTTAAGAGGCCCTTTCAATTGAAATCTGGCCCAAAGCGTATATTTCCCTGTAGTGTATTCTGTCTCGCATGAAAATATAGGTGCAGGGACACTTGGTGGGTTCTCGATACAATATTTATTTGATTTGAAGCTTGAGTCGCCACGACTGCAAGGTGTGAAGCGACTCGCTTTTTTTTCAGCGTGGTACATGTTGCTGTTATCAATACCTCCTAACATACCAAGCCACACAAACACAGTCACCAGCTCGTATCCAAGCACGAGAGCGAGACGAAAATATCGATATATACAAAAGGGTAATCATAATCATTGCTCATAAACATACAAGAGAAAATTGGCGTACAAAGTTGCCCGCAACTACGGCATCCCGTGCCGATCAGTACCCAGTCTTGGTGGTGTACTGCTTACCGTCGCGAGTCTGCACCCATCCGTCGAGATCCATCGTCTTGATGAGCGTGCTGAATTTCTCCGTCCCGGGAGCGGCGTAGATGGACGACCTGGCCTTGGAGCTCACAGAGCCCGGCGCACCGTCGGGGTACTCGATGTGAAACACGGCCTTGCCGGCCTTGATGAAGGCCGCAAAGGTGCTGGCCTCGTTGTACTTGACGCACTGCTCGTTCACTTGAAAGTCGACAAACTTAATGACCTGAGGGATGATCTCGCCAGCGTTCTTGAGCGCGATGCTGAGACCGTACTTGCGCGCCTCGCTGGAGAGAAACTTGACAAAATCAATCGTGTCGGCCTTTGTGAGACCAAGGCCGTTGTCGTTGGACTGCAGCACGGTGTTAGCCGATGGACCATACAGTATACACCCTAGAGTGGGAAAGACTCACATAACCGTCTACGTTGTCGGGGTCGATGGCGTCGCAGCCCTTTTCGGCGGCGAGCTTGATCCTCTGGGCCATAATGTTCCGGACGTTGGGGTTCTTGATCTGGAGCCAGCGCTCACCTGGCCAGTCGTCCATGGGTTTGCCAAAGTCGGCCTTGGCGAACTTTTTGGCGTCTGGCCGCCATTCCTCGTAGGTTCCGGCGCTGAAGTAGCAGATGACCTTCTTGTTGAGCTTGTGCAGCGCCGCGATGGTCTCGGCCTTGTTGTCGAACAGGTCAATGTCGTAGACGGCAACGTCGGGTGTGACGACAGGCTTCTTGGGATCAATCTTGAGCGGCGCGTTGAGCACAATCTGCCACGTCGTGCCGATGGCCGGCACCCAAGGCTTCTTTGCGACGACTGCTCGCTCTTCGACGGGGAGCGCTTCGGTAGACATGATGAGGGAAGCTGCCAAGGCAAGCAGAGCGCAGGGCTTGAGGGGAGAAAGAGTACGCGTCCACATCGTGGGGGATCTGAGAGCTACCAGTAGCTCGAGCTGAGGTAATCCGTGCTAAGAGCTTATTTGAGCTTAGGCGCGGGTATTGTGCGTCAAAGTGATCTGAATGTAGAAAGTGATCTGCAAAGTCAACCCCAGGTTGTCGATATCGGGGAATTTCCATAGCCACATGGTGAGCGGGACAGGCAAGCCTAAATACTCCTGCCAGATTTTGAGCCGTGAGTCGAGGCCATGCTCTCTCTTGACGGGCATTTCTCACGATGACGGATGGAATGTAAGGGGGGCGGCAAGGAGCGTGGCGCCAAATTGCAGGGGAAATGCAGGAGTGCGCGATTCGCGAGCTAGAGCTGGGCGGCAGTTTAGGAATGCCTCCCTAGGGGTGCATTACCTTACCCTACCCTACCTTAGGCACTTCAGCTCTTGTGGCTGGTCCAGACTTCTTGGCCGTTTGCGACGGCCCGTACCACATATGACGCCTTTCCGTCGAGCCTCGTCGTCGCAAACGGCCAAACGACTCAGCACCCTTCACCGCCGACACGATGAAAAGAGGGAGAAAACACCGCACGCTAGGTATAGTTCTGCCATCGCTACGACGGTGAGTTGATTCAGATGGCGCCGTTTTGCGCAAGCCACCAGGCGGCTACCCGCAGTGCCCGCGCTTGTGCCCGAGTCTCCGTTGTCAGAGATTAAGCCTCTGCAGCAAACAAATGCAAACGGACGCAGCGCCATGGCAGCCTTCTCATTTCTTCTTGACCCCCGCGCGAATAAAGAACCTTAGAATCCACTCCACGGGAGATGATGCGGATTGAGGCTCGACAGCTGCCCCCATAGCACCATAATAAAGCTTCTTTTTCGCCCCGTTGCATATTGCCCCTGAGGAGAAGCAACCAAACGGCGTAGCTTCTGAGACGCAAACAGCTCGTTCGGAGCCCTTGAACCTTGGTCTAGATGGCGCGAGGCATTCGGTGACGACTTTATTCGCGCAATCGTGACAGCAATAACCTTGTTTGGCCCGCGCCCCGCGCCATCAACTTTGTCAATTCAGCTCCACGATCGCGATGGGACGTAAACTCCGAAAACTTCGCCATGACGACCTCAAAGCAGCATGGCCACGGAATATCCCGATGAAGCAATCCTCATCCTTCATTTTGCACCATAGGGACGCCGGCATCTGGCTTGAGGAGAAGGAACAAGGCCAGCTTAGAGGCATCCTATTGCACACTTGCACGGAGTCATCGCTCCGTCTCATCCACGCAAGGGACATGATGTCATTCATTCTCTCGTAACCCGGGAGGGCAATCACTCGCCCTGCTGTTTCCTCCTTGCCTTGAGCTTACACACGATGCCTTTGGTGCGGTAGAACCACCTTGAGCACGTCCACCACTTCTCATTCGGATCAGCAAGCTCAACATCAAACCTCGAAATGACAGAGGGCACGACTTTGTACACCTCCATGAGGCTGAGATGTCGTCCCAGGCAGATACGTGAGCCCCCACCGAAGGCCAAGTTCGCCGCGTTCCAGAGTTGCATCCTTTCCTTGTAAGCCTCTCCGCTCTCGTTTTCGCCCTGAAGCCATCGATCTGGGCGGAATTCATCAGCGTCGGCACCAAACATTCCCTTGTTGCGTCCCACAATGTATGGATTCATGCCGACAAAGGTTCCTGCTGGAACGACGGTGCCGTCTGGAAGGGTCAGACCGCCCTCAGGAACAATTCTCTCCAGACCCATTGAAACGGCAGGATGATAGCGGAGTGTCTCGCGAATTGTAGCCTCGAGGTAAGGGAGGGCGCGGGCCGTTGCATGGGAGCACGCTGTGTTTGGAGAGACATGCTCCCGGACTTCGGACTCTAGCCGCTTCCATACACGCGGGTCTTTGAGGCAGTAGTAGAACAATGCCTTCATGGTAATAGCTGTCGTGTCGGCTCCGGCGATCACTTGTCGCGCGGTGTCAGCATAAGCTCATGCATGTCTCACCATCGGCGAGGGTGACTGACGGTTCAGCAGGAGATACCCAATGATTGTAGATTCGTCTACAATCTCAGGATGTGATGTCTTGGATTCGATGAAGTATTGGAGAAAGTCCGGGTTTTCATTGGTGCACGCTGCATTCTCTCCTGCGAGCCGGGCCGTCAAAGCCTCCATGGCGATTCTTGTCACGTTAGAAATGTTGGGCGGCCCCAATGCGTAGATGGGATTCTTGTCGAGCCAATGATCGAGCCAGGGCATCTGACCACAGATCCCAAGATAATCAATCGACTGGTCAGCGATCGCAAGAGTACCGTCGAAGTCGCGACCCTCCTCCATGTAACCGAACTTCTTGCTGAATGTTACGGTTCCTAGAAGATCCCAGGCAACTGCCGACTCGTCAGTATGGCCAGCGCGATTGATGGGGAATCACCAGGCTCATCTAACAGTATGCCAGCCAGTCCCCAAAGTCGCATAGTATTCCAGGGTTGACAAAGCGCTCCTGAAGGTGGTCGCAGAACGTTTCGACAACCTCGTTCATGTGTGGTTCCATGGCCAGCACGCTCGGGACGGAATAATGGCGCACAACTGGGCGCTTCAGGCGGGCATGCAAAACATTGTCCACTTCACTGAACATATGGTACGTAATCTTCCCATCGACGACGGAGCTGCTGATTTTATACAAGTCGGTCTAACCCCCAAAGTACAATGAGCCGATTTACAACGTCATCTGGCTCAGTGTTGCGTGTACTTACCTTCTTCCACTTTCCGTCGGTACTGTAGATTGTTCTCGAAAGCTCAGGGACGTCAAGGTCCAGTAGGTTTGGACCTATTCGGACGACGGGACCGTATATTTCGTGAAGCCTTTTGATTCCCGGTGCGTAGTCGGCAGATATCGCCTTGCAGAAGCGCCATAAATTTGTCACACCTAAGCCATGTCAGTCCTGTAATATACGTATGCAGAATTCATCTATCTATTTTCAATCGCGAA